GTCCCGGCTGCGCCTGCCTGAGACCTGGCCTAGAAAAATCTGGCACTCATGCTCCCTTCACCCTGCCTAGAGCCAGCTGCTCACCTGGCACCGCTCACCCAGGTGCTCCCACGCCAAGTGCCAAGTCAGCTTGGGTGGGAGGGAAGGGAGCAGAGGAGAGGCGCTAGGCCCCAGGAAGAGCCCAGGACTCTGCAAGCCCAGGAGGGGGTGTGCAGAAAGCAGCGGTACCGAGACTCCAACTGCAAGGCATCTTCTGAGCGGGGGCCAAACTCCCCTGGGCCTGCCCCAGCAGGGAGGACAGGCCTGTACCAGAGCCCAGCACCGGGGGCTGCAACCCCCCTCCACCCAGCCCCAAACCTCAGAGCCGCCCACCCGGCCCTGGACAGGGGCCTGGAAACTCAGTACTGCAGACTCATCAGATTTTCCAGGCTGTGTTTGTGTGCGTGTGCGCAAGTGTGCATGTGTGTGTGTGTGTGTGTGTGTGTGTACATATGCACACGTGTGTTCTTTCAGAAGAGGTGGGGGTGGGGGCCTAGCAACTAGGGAAGCTGATGAGAAAGGGGAAAGGTCCCCGTCCCGCTCTGGCCAAGAGGTGGGGCAACCCCTTACCCTGGTCCTTTCCCCATCTCACCTCACCTGGGGACACCTTACTCTGTTCTTTTAGCAGAGTCCCGATCAGCAGCCACAGACGGGAGAGATGGTGGGGTGGAAACATCCTAATTCAGAATCTAAGGAGATAGAGCAGGACATGGGGGGGGTGGTCCCAAAGTCCCCACCAAAGAGAGACCCGTTGGGGACAGCCCTGACTCTGAGAGAACCTTGAGAAGGCACTTTACCACAGTAGGCCCAGATGCCAGCCCCCAACCCAGCCAGGGGCAGCTTTGGGAAGGGAGGGGGGCTCCAGAGAGAGTACAGAAAGTTTCTGACAGATAAGAATCAGCACCGCCTACCCCCAAGACCAAGCCTCTCCATTCAGCAAAAAAGAACCACAGGGCTGTACCTCTTCCCCAGCAGCCACCCCCACAGACAAACCCACATCCTCTCCCTAGAGAACCCCGAGGGTCCTCCCAAGGTCTCCAGGCACCTTACCGGTTCATTCTGGAAAGAGTCAGTCAAGAGGCAGAAGAGGGCCAGTGGCAGGTCCTGCTGTCTGGGCTCCCCAATGTGAATTGGCCTTGTCTCTCCCTGCAGCTGTCCCAGGCAGCTCTTCCGGCCCCTCCTCTGCTCTCCCACAACCCGAAGCCAGGCCTTGGGCATCCCCCACGCTGGAGGAAGATAATCACCAGGCAGGAGAGGACAAGTCGCCCACTGTCCCTCCCACGTTCTGGGGAAGGTCGCCGGGGAAGGGGGAGGCCTAGGTGCAGCTGTGGAGAGACAGCAGGGGCTGGGGGCCTGGGCAGGGGTGTGCCCCAACAGTGTGTGTTCAAGTGTGCACACGTGTACCAGGAGGGAGCTCACGCCTGTCTGAATGGACACACGAGGGGGTGTTCAGAAACAACACCCGGGGGGAGGCCGACAGGAGAGCCCCTGGGAGGAAAGGGCCACGCTGTAGAGCAGATGTCCATTTCTCTGACTCTGAGCTTGGAGACAGGGAGGAACTTTTCCTCCTGCCAGGGTCCCTGCGACAGGAGAGGAATTGGGGTCTTTCCTGGAACTCCCAGCAGGCTGGCCCTGGTTCCCTCCATGCTGAGCTGGTCCTCTCAGCCAGGGCTGAAGGGTATGGAAAAGTCCCCTGTACCAGCAGGGCACTCAAAAGGTAGCAAGAGGGAAACGGGGTGGGAGTGGGCGATGGCATTGGAGGTGGCTGGCACAGAGGGACAGCCTGGGACATGCCCTGTGGGCCTCCCTGGAGGCTAGCCCAGGGGGCCACCCAGCACTCCTCTGCCCCACTCACCCTGTGTCTGMTGTATCCCTGCCTCCTGCTCCAAGACCTCCTTGTCTGTCTCCCCAACGCCCCAGGACAAGCCTGGGCCCGCCAAGTCAGGGCAGAACAAGTCGGCTTCCTCAGGAAGAGCCACCTAGGATCCAAGGGCTTGTCCAGAGAGGAGCTAGTAGGGCAGCTAAGGAGAGGAGCAGGACAGGTGTGAGGCCCAGCAGTTCTGGCCCCCAGCAGCTGACCCTTCCCCGAGATGCCCCCTTGGATTTTATAGAGCAGGGGTTTCTGGGAGTTGCTGGTGTATCCCCGTCCCCCAGGGGCTCTCTCTCTCATGGAGCATGGGAGTCCTGGTTCACAGCCCCAGGAATCAGGAGTGACTGGAGGAGACAGACTGGAGAGCCAAGTGGTAACTGTGTGTGCAGCTAGACAGACCACAAGTCTCAGATGGGAAGAGACACGTGGTCCTCGCCCTGCATCAGCCCCTCCCCAGCCTGGCCGAGAGCCTGGCCAGTTCCTCCCTGTCCTCTCTGGCTGCTATGAGCGACTCCCTGCAGAGCCTCCCCTGAGCAGAGCCCTGAGCATCCCCTGGAGGATGTAAGGCTGGTGAGGGGCAAGGCGTAGCCTCCATGGCCTCCCCCACGCAGCTCTCCCCCACCCAGTGTGGCTCCCTGGCCCACTTCCCTCACCAGCTTCTCTTGCTTCTGCTGACTCCTGAGCTCTCCTGTGAACAAAAGCACTTCACAGGTCTCACTTCATCTGCCCACATGGGGTTATTATCCCTATTATCATCCCCCTGGGGAGGGAGGAAGCTGAGGAGGAGTTGGAGACACAGGGAGCCTTAGTAACTTGCCCAAGGTCACACAGCACTGGGCCATAGTTTACTCATGACATGCAGGTCTTCCGGCTCCCAGCTATTAGTATACATATTCTCCGGAGCAGAAGGTAGCTGGAAACTCAATCCCAACCCAGGAGAACAAATAAGAAGTTTCAGTGATGAAATTTGGAAAGCCACCGGGGAGAGCTCCACCCCAGGCATGGGAAGGTCTGCAGTGAAGACAGAGTCACTTTAGGAGCCTCAAGATGGGGCAAAGTTCACACGGGGGCGGGGGGGGGGGTGCAGAAGGTGGACTAGGCTCCAAGGCCAGGCTGGGAGGGGCTGGGGCAGCATCTTGTCCATCAGAGGCTCGTGGTTGGGTCTCGAGCCACATGCTCCATGGATGTCCAGGCGTTTCTAAGCAAAGAGGGAGAGAGGGAGTGGGTAGGAGGCCAGAAGTGATTCTCCCCTCCACCTCCCAAAGGAAACTGGGAGGGCCCGGGGGTCTTGCTCAATGTCCAGAATTACACCCACCCCTAGTATCAACCCCCTTCCTCATCTCCAGGCCCCTGGCTTCCTTGAAACACTTGCACCTCTGCCGGCCCTAGCCTCTGAGGGGTCAGGGGTGTGCTCAGAGCCAACAGGGCTCAGGCATGGAAACCCGGGGGCACTGGGCAAGCCCGTGGAGGGGAGACTTGGCCCACTTCCTCCTCCCCCACCCCTGTGGTATCCTAGCTTCCTGTTCTTGATCATAATCAACAGTCGGCCCAAAGCGGGGGCCCTCTTTCCAATCCCCTCCTGCCCCCTCCTTTACTCCAGGGCCCACGCCACTGACCAGTAGAAACACTGGCCCACATGGGGAGGTCAAGGCAGAGGCCAGCCTCAGATCATTGCCCACAGCCACCTAGGGATTCCCAGGCTCCTGCTCCTGCCACCTCACGCTGGCCCTGCAGCCAAATACTTCCCAGCTCCACCTAGCCCCCTTCCTTGGGCGACCCCCCCCCATTCTTAGAGGAACACCAACTCCAGGGAAGATGGACCCAGGATCAGTTAGCCAAGGAGAGGCTCAGAAAAGAGTCTTCACCTCCCAAGGGCAAAGGAAGGTAGCAGGAGGCCTCCTGAGCCCAAAGGGTCACTCTTGCTCTTCAYCCCAAACGTTCTCCTGCGAGGGTCAGCTGAAGCCCCCTGCCGCCCCCTGTGTGCCCTCCCCTGTGCCTATGGTACATCATGTCTTCTTTGCTGTCACCGTTTGACAGCTGAATCAGAGAAGTGGGAGGAAGAGAGGGAATGCGGAGGGAGCGTGCTGGGGCCAGGAAGGATGTTGGGAATGTTACAAGGTCTAAGGAGACGCAGCAGCATGAACCGCGGGGCGGCTGGGCTGCAGGCCGCCAGGGGCCGAYCAGAGGAGCCAGGCAGGGGAGGAGGGAGGGCCCTGGCATCTTGGACTTGGGGGCTGCTCCCCAAGCCCCAGGCACGCAGGTGCCCCAGTAGTGAAGAGGACATGGGAGTCCCCTGGCAGGAGGGCCAGAACCTGTCGACGATTCGTAAGTCTTCTGAGAGGATGTCAGGTTCTGGGAGGAGGCCCAGAGGGGGCAGGGGACCTGGGGGAAGCCCCAGACTCTCCTCCAGCTCAGCTCTACTGTCCACTCCCCGGGTGGCTGGCCTATATGCAGGCCAAGGGAGCAGAGAGCTGTGCAGGGCTCGGAGCCTGAGGAAGCCCTCTCTGGCCCAGCCAGGGGCCCTCCTTTCCCACAAGCAGCAAGGACTCCTGCCTCCTGCTTCCCACCCCAGGTCTGCACCACATCTGCTCTAGGAAGCTGCAGCCTGTTCTTGGCCATGAGGTTCCAAGGCATGAAGCAGCAAGGGCTTCCAGGGAGAGGGCCCCTGGGCAGAGGCACAGGAGTGGAAATAAGTCTCTGGCATGGTCAGGTGGACGAGGAGCCCCCTGGGGTTCTTTGTGAGATGGCATGGAGCAGGGGCCAGCTGAGCTCTGCCCAGAGCGCAGACAGAAATGGGGCGTGACAAGGACCCACAGGAGCAGTGTGGCAGGAGGGAAGAGGGTTTAGGAGCCAGAGGAATCTGGTGCTCAAGGAAGGCCCAGCCCCTCACCTGTTCCTGGGAACAGGACCTTGGCCCCTGGCAAAGGTGCCAAGACATCGCACGAAGCCTCTAGGGGCACAGGCAGGAGGCACCGACCCCTGGTGGCAGCTGCACAGGCGCGGGAGGGCGGCACGAGCAAGCCAGGGTGTGCGTGGGTGGAAGCGAGGAGGGGCCGAGGGAGGAAACTGGCTTCCTGAATCCTTCTCAGTCCTCAAAGACAGACCGACAGACAGATAGACAGCTGGCAGGAGGCAGCCTGGGGAACACAGCTGCTTCAGTAAGTACCTGAAGCAGGGAGCAGGAGTCCTGTGCCCCAGGAGCAGTGTGGCAGGAGGGAAGGGGGTGTGTGGGAGGGCGAGTGGGCCCTGGGTGCCAGCCGGGGAGTGGGTGTCCATACACCTAATGTCCCTGAAGCCAGGAGGGCAGGGAAGCCACAGGGAGCGCAGAGAACTGAGGGAAAGGGCCCCTCCTGCTGCAGGAGAAGCCCTCTCCACCACCCGCACCTGCAAGGGCCCAGCTGTCCCCTCACCTCCATCCCCATGGGCTCAGCAACTTAGACCCTGCTGTCTCAGCAACTGAGACCCTGGCTCTGGGAGATGGGGACTGCCCCCCAGCAGAGGTGGCTTCATCACCTCCATGCCCCCCGCTCATGCCCCTAGCTGTCGCCTCACCATGCACTGTCGCTCAAGGGCTTGGTGAGGCCATTTCCTGTGACGGTTACAGAGGCGGGAGATGGGGGAAGGGCAGGAGGAGGAAGGAAACACCCCCAGGCTAACCTCCCTGGACGGGGACCCCAGAAGCCAGAAATTGTCTTGGGAGTGGACCTACCAGCGGTTCGGAGAGGACCATGTGAGGGGCCAGCAGCCCGGTGGGTCTGGGTCTCCGACGGCCTCCAACACTGCCAGAGGCGTGCGCTTTCTCATTCGGGAGCAGCCCCACTGGTTAGAGTCAGGGGTAGCTTCGGAGAGCTTCGTCCCTTCCTTCTGTGTGGTTCCCACCATTGGCCTTTCTCCCTGGCCTCCTCTCACCGGGACCCCAGCTTAGAGCCCTGTGCGCTTTGGTCTCCCTCCTTCTTCTCCCTCTGGATTCTCTCCTATCTTCATCCAGGACTCCACCTTTATCTTTTCCTTACTCCAACCTCAGTCAGCCTGTGGCCTGTGGCCTGTGCCCTGGATCCCACCAAAGAGATCCTGTCCTCGGGGTGAAAATGAGGCCACCTCTTGAGGAACAGGGCTGGGGAGCCTCCTTCTGGCCAGACAGGCTGAGGCCAGCAGCTGCAGGGCCTTGTCTTCCAGGCAGACGTCATGGCCATGGCCGAGTGAGCCTCCCTGGGGCCAGTGCCCCACCCCAGCATGGTCCAGGCCCGTGGGGGGCGCTCCAGAGCACTGCGGCCGACCTCATCTTTAGGGGCAGCCATGACCCAACCTCCACCTGCCAAAGCACCAGCCAAGAAGCATGTGCGGCTACAGGAGAGGTGAGATCTTCCCTTTGGAGAGGGTCTTCCCAGCCCTGGGCCCCAGCTCGCTTCTCCCCCTCCCTTCGTCTGCCCCTCCAGTTCTGATAGCTGAGTCCAGAGACCCTCTACTTTGGACTCCAATCTGGAAAGAAAACCCAAATCATACTAATTTGCATATCCTTTGCATGTTCTTTGTGTTTCTGGGGCACAGAGTTTCATGTCAACCCTGAGCCTGCACCCTAAATCCTAGGTTTGGCTGGCTGTCCCTGGGGAGAGGTTGCGTGTAGGTGTGAGCCTGGGGGCCAGGTTGAGAAGGAGAAGAGGTAGCAGCGGGGAAGAGCAGTTGTTTCCATGTTCCCTTATCTGGCTGACAAAGGGACAAAAGCATGCAGCAGGGCCCTGAACCCTCGAATGCACTAGGCCTCTGGAGCACTGACGAGGAGCCGCCTCCTCAAATGTACCCTATACCATAAGAACTGTAACATAAGCGGTTTTTATTGGGTGCTCGTTAGGCGGGGCTCCAATGTGGCTCTGATGCTGGATGTGCGCTCCCTGGGCACCGTGGAGCCCATCTGCTCGGTGAACACACCCCGGGAGGTCACCCTACACTTTCTGCGCACAGCTGGACACCCACTGACCTGCTGGGCCCTGCAGCACCAGCCACCCAGCCCCAAGCAACTGGAGGAGGAATTCTTGGTAAGAACTTGGGGTCCCTTCTGCATCAGTCTGTCCTCTGCATTAGAGGTGGTCAGCTGGCCTCAGTCCATCATGGACACCCTGGGCACTCTTTGCACCCTGGGGGCTCAGGAAAGGAGGTTGCCCCCATGTCTCCTCTTTTACTTTCTACCCTAGCCTGCTAAGAAGGGATGGCCAGGGTCCAGCACTAGTAGGAAAGGGAGGAAGGGGAGAAAAGCATGCTGGGAAAGGGAGCGCTGTTCACTCATTTCTTCCCCTGCCAGAAGATCCCCTCAAACTTCGTCAACCCTGAAGACCTGGATATCCCTGGTCATGCCTCCAAGGACCGGTACAAGACCATCTTGCCAAGTAAGAGAGGCAGTGGGGATGGAGGGAGGTGGGCACTCTGCCCAGGACTGGCAAGCTTCAGAAGGCAAGATGCATAGCACAGCCTGGGTGAAGGAAGGACAAGAGAACTTGGGACATCTTCTTTCCCTGATGAGGGAAAGAAGGGGCAATAATCACAGCAGCAGCAGCGATGATGAAATTTGCAAATGCCTACTTGTGGGCCAGGTACTGCCCTCCACCCTTTTGGTTCATTCATTTCTCCCAGCGTCCCTGTGAAGCTGGCATGATGGTATTAGTATGCCCATTTTGCAAATGAGGAAACCGAGGGACAGAGGATTGCATAGCTTGCCCAAGGTCACACAGCACCCTGTACCAAAACTTCCTCATCTTCCTCCCATGTAGGGAGGCTTCACAGCAGCAGAGGCTTCTGGGAGGACGCCCCAAGACATAGAGGGCTTTGAGAAACACACATGGAGCAGGACAGAGAGATTGCTGGGCAGGTTGGGATGGGGGCCACTGGGCTGACAAGCCAGGGCTAGCACCTGCTGCTCTGCAGAGGCCTCAGAGCCTCTCCCCGGAGAGCAGCCCCATCAGGCTGCCCGCTGCAGTGACTCCACACTGGGGTTACCTCCTGATGGTACTCCCTTCCTCCTCCTGCGCCTCTGCCAGCTGAGATGGGTTCAGAGGCTGGGAGTGCTCCGCCAAGTGGAGAGGGGGTGAGTTTAGTCCTTTCCTAATTCTGAGCAGCCCTGCAGCCACCAGAGAGGGGACAGTCCCCTTGCCTGAGATTTCCCTGGCCTCTGGGCCTCCTCTGTTCATAGCCAGGCTAGCTCTGGAGGGGAGTATCCCCTCTCCTTTCCTCACAGACCTGCTTCTTTATCCTGGTTTGGATTTGATTTGGAGAAATCCCGTCCCCTAGAGGAGAAACCACAGGATCTAGTAGCTGAATGAAATCTGAGTCCGAGTGGCACTTAACCACCAAGTCATCTTGGGCAAGTCACTCCTCTGGACCCCATATCCATCACTGGAAAGACACTCCTTCTCTACAGCACTTCTTTTTCCAATTTTACTCGTATTTTCCTGTTCTGCACCCTCACTGATCTCCAGAGTAGATCGTTACAAGAACTTCCTGTGTGATCTTTGCAGCTCCATGCCCTTTCCTCTCTAGTCTATCCCACTCAGTACCACTCAGCCTTCCCAAGTTATGGCTGGAAGTTGATATCAATCTCCTGCTCAAAATTATTCTGTGGCTGCCTATTATCTACATATAAAATAATCCAGTGGGCATTGGGCTACTTGCTATATACAAAGGACTGTGACAGTCACAAGTCTTTTCTCTGAGTCAGTTAGAGTCTGTATTAGTTGGTCACCTTTTGACCTCTGACCGCCACTGATTTTTACTTCCTAGATCCTCAGAGCCGTGTCTGTCTCGGTCGGGTGCAGAGCCAGGAGGATGGAGATTACATCAACGCCAACTACATCCGAGTGAGTAGCCGGGCTGCAGTACGGGGGCAACGGGAGTGTGATGGGATTGTGTTTGAAGATGTCAGATGGTATCTCCCAGCTGTGGCTGGTAGGTCAGGGGCGTTGATGTCCCTGCCTGCTCTGACTCATTGCTGTCATAGCCCTGCCAGGCTGGATGGACACTAAACAGACCCAAAGTCACCAACCTAGAAAACATGCTAAAATTTTTCTGAAAAGAAGAGATGCCAAATTTCCTTAAACCACCTTATCACCCTGTGTATGTCAAGTCTCTAAACCTGCAGGAAAATGAACATTGCTGAACCTAGCCATTAGCTTCTTAAAGGCTAATGACTCCTGAGATCTTCATGGGAGAGATCAATACAAATAGTAACACCCCCCGCACCCCTCCCACCAACCGCCCAGGCTCCCCCCAGATCTTCATGGGAAAGCCCAATGCAAATACGGAAGAACCCCCACCCCTATGCTTTTCCCAAACATCCCTTCCTTTGTGGAAATGGTTGGATTAATGTCCAGCTAATAGGAACCTAAAAGCAAGGTGGGCTCTCTACCCCAACTTCTCACCTCTGTCCACCCTAAGAAATAAAAGCAGCTCCCTCTAGTGGCCAACGTGGATATGACAGCAGTTGAGGCTGCAGGCAGAATAGCTGTTGTCAGGAAAGCAGTGTGGATCCAAGGTCTTCCACTAGTCAGGCAAAACTAGCAGAAGAGTGGGCTGGATTTCACCATCACCTTGAGGAACAGGAAACTGAGGATCCTGAAGGGGACAGAGACAGGCCTGGGAGAGGGTGCTACATTTCACTGCTAAATATATAAGAGTGATATATAAAAGTGAAACATTAATTCACAATCAATGAACAATTTTGGTATTTTGTGCTAGAAGAAAGCAGCAAGGGAGGAAGGGAACAATCTTTTATATAGCACTCGTTATATGCCAGACTCTCAGTATGTTGTATTAACTTTAATCCACACTACGTTCCTGCAAGAGAGATATCAGTATGCCCAGTTTACAGATAGGAAGCTGGGACTTACAGAAGCTAGGTAACTTGCTTATAATAGCATAACTAGGAAACATCAGAACAGGGATTTGAACTCACATGTTCCTCACTCCAGAACCCATGTCCTGGGCTGAGGATGTGGCTCAGTGGTAGAGCACTTGTCTAGCCTGTACCAGGCCCTGGGTTCAATTAAAAAACAACATCATCAACAAAAAGACCTTGTCCTTTCCACCCTGTGGCTTCTGAGAGTCTGTGTGCTTGTACACGTGCGTGTGTTCACTGGCTTCAGCCTGATCCAGCACCTGCAGAGCCTGGGCTTTCCCTGGCACTCGGATCTCACTGCCTCCCTGTGCTCCCACCTCCCCAGGGCTACGATGGGCAGGAGAAGGTCTATATCGCAACCCAGGGTCCCATGCCCAACACCGTGTCAGACTTCTGGGAGATGGTGTGGCAAGAAGAAGTGTGCCTTATTGTCATGCTCACTCAGCTCCGAGAGGGCAAGGAGGTAGGTGGCAGAGCCACAGTCCTTGGTGAACCCCCAAAAGGGCTACATCCTTCCCCAACACACTCACACACCCCCATGCAGGCAGCTTGGCACCACAGGCTCCCTGGGAGCTGAGAACTCTGACAGGCAACCCTGGCTCTTGTCTGAGCCATTCTCCAGGTAGCGGGATCTTGGCCAAAATATGAGATGGGACAAATACTTGGCCTGCGGGGTCAAACTCAGGAGAGCCAAGTCCCAGTTGCTGACCTCCCCAGAGGAGATGGGATATGCAGGGTGATACCAGCCCCCTCAGAGCTTCCCCAACCCCTGCTGCAGCTGATAGACACCCCCCTTCTGACTCCCAGCTCCCTCCCTTCTAGAAATGTGTCCACTACTGGCCCACAAAAGAGGAAACCTATGGACCCTTCCAGATAAGCATCCAGGATACCAAAGAGTGCCCAGAATACACTGTGCGGCAGCTCACCATCCAGGTACCACCCCAGGGACCAGAGAAGTTGGACCACCCCCAGCATCTCTGGGACTCAGGCCCAACCTTCGCTGGGAGCCAAGCTTATTCATCCTAACCTTGAGCCCACATCTGAAAGAGGCGTTTGATCCTCAGAAGAGAGACTTGGGCACTGACCTCAGGGAGCCTCTAGTCTAAGAGCTCAGAGGGAACAAACCATATAGGAATGGACAGGAAGCCACTCCACCCCTGCTGAGTGGTCCAGCAAGGAGAGGAAGGATCCAGAGTGCGCTGAAGGAATGAGAGGAGGTTGGAAGAGATGTGTACCAGTCCACGTGAAAGTGCTTTAGAAAGGTTTTCTATGATTGCATAGTGTTTTGCATTTTTCAAAACATTTCTTTGTTGATTCATTATTTTCCAAGCAGCCCAGGAAATAAACTAATATATCACCGTTCCCACTTTCTAGGCAAAGAAAACGGGGTTATGTGCTAGTCAGAGGCAGAGTCAAGATCTGAACTGGGGTCTTTCCCTGTCCCAGGACGATGCTCCTTCACTGGAGTTTGGCGGGGCGGGATGATGAGCCGGAAGAGTTAGCTCTGTCCGCTCTGAGCTGAAGACTCCCCCACAGAGTTATTGTAGCCCCTGCCCTCCTCTAACGCCACAGAAGGTGGGCAGTGCCCCTCACCCGGCCCCCGTCCTTATGCCTTGTCTCTATCCCAGCACCAGGAGGAACGCCGGTCAGTTAAACACATCCTCTTCTCAGCCTGGCCTGACCACCAGACGCCGGAATCAGCCGGGCCCCTGCTGCGCCTGGTGGCTGAGGTGGAGGACAGCCCAGAGACAGCTGCCAACACTGGGCCCATCGTGGTCCACTGCAGGTGGGGGACCGCTGCTTCCACCGTGGCCTGGATCCCATGCTCCCCTCCCTCCCACTGGGTCTGGGAAGGGGGTCAGAGCAGAACAGCATCAGGCAAGCCTAGTTCTTACTTGGACAGGAATCTGTGTCATTCAGCAAGTGTTCTGCTCTTACTATCTCCTTCCCGCAGAACCCAGACATCTCTGCATACCCAGGCACAATGCAGAGAGGCGTCAGAATATCGGGAAGCTCCTAGGTGGCTATTAAAAGGAAACATGTACAATCCCTGCTGTTAGGGGATCATTCGACATGTATTTATCGAAAACCTCTTATTGTCAGGCACAATGTTAGACTCTAAGAAGGCAACAGTAACCGAAATAGTTTGGATTCTTCCCTGACAGTTTTAGGGCCTGGTGGGAATGATGGCAGATTGAACAACTAAATTCAACACGATGCTGTGAGAGCTGTGATGGGCAGCACAGAGTCAGGTTGCCTAACTCAGACTTTAACCAGAGGTTTTCCAAGAGGAAGGACAGCTAAGCTACCCTAGGACCTGTAAGGGAATTGATCAAGGGAGAAGGGACAGGAGAAGCATTCCAAGCAGACGGAACAGCACACGCAAAGGCCGAGAGAAGAAATTTAAAACTTGGTCCATTACTGGCTGCAGGGTGGGAAGGTGAGAGGGTGGGCCATTACGTGTGGGAATAATGATGGGAGATGATTCCAGAAGGCAAGTGAAGGCCACGTGAAGAGCAGCCTTAGAGGGCTGACTAAGACACTTGGGTTTATTTTATTGTTTATTTATTTAGGTGCCAAGGATAGAACCCAAGACCTTGGATTTGCCATTTTATTTCTTTGAGGCTTTTTGGTTCTGTTTGTTTGGGTACTGGGGATTGAATCCTAAGGCCTCCCACATGCTGGCCAGTGCTCTGCCACCAAGCTACATCACCAGCCCTTTCTATTTTATTTTGAGGCATGGTCTTCTAAGGGTCTTGCTAAGCTGCCCAGACTGGCCTCACATTTGTGGTCCTCCTGCCTCAGCCTCTCAAACTTGCTGGGGTTCCAGGCATGCACCACCCRGCCTGGCTCAGATTTGCTATTTTAAAAGGATGCTTTGGCTACAGAACGAAAGTAGGAGTGGGTGGGGGGTGACACAGGGGACAGACAAAGCAAGGAGACCACTGGGGAGTGGACATCCGAAATAAAACAACATCCAGGTAAAAAAGTATAAATTAGAGGGGGCTCCTGGGCTCACCCACAGGTGACCCCTGGATATAGGTGCTGGGTGTCATTAGTGGTTTCTATCAGGGGTCATGTAAGAGTTGTTCAAAAAGGAAGGAGAGAGTTTTGAAATAAAGGGCAAGATAGCGCACAGCAGAGAGGAGAGGACTGTGGATGGAATGAAGGGAGGCATAGAGGGAGCAGGCCTGGGCAGCCGTGGAGGCTGAGTATAAACTGGGAGGAAGTCATGGTCAGATAAGGAGGGCCTGAGGGGGCAGCCAGCCCACAGTGGGGCGCCGTCAGTTGGAAACTGTTGTAGATTGTTACGCAGAAAAGAGATCATTGCAATGTCCACAGGAACCGGAAGGTGACCTGGACTGGGCCTGGAGTGAGGCTGAGGAGCAGTGCAGGCTCAGGGCTGGGGTATGGTTCAGTGGTAGAGCGCGTGCTTAGCATGCAGGAGACGCTGAGTTCATCTGCCCCAATGCAAAGAGAGGCAAACTCCCCCAGGGGTGCTGGAAGCTGGGGTACAGCGTTCCATCCTCAGAATCCTGCCCCACAAATACAGCACCTTCAGGTCACTTTTTTTGTTGTTGATTTTTTTTTTTTTTTTTTTTTTGGTACCAGGGATTGAACCCAGGGATGCTCAACGACTGAGCCACATCCCCAGCCCTTTTTAATATTTTATTTAGAGACAGGATCTCACTGAGTTCTTAGGGCCTTGCTAAGTTGCTGAGGCTGGCTTTGAACCTGCAATCCTCCTGCCTCAGCCTCCAGAGCCACTGGGAATATAGGCAGGCGCCACCACACCCAACAGGTCCCATTTTTGTCCATAGATTTGGGGCCCAGCTCCCACATTTCCTGGTCACCTTACTCCCTTGCTTCTTCCCTCCTGTGACCTCCCCGTCTTCTCTCTGGTTGTATCCAGTGCAGGGATTGGCCGGACAGGCTGCTTCATAGCCACCCGAATTGGCTGCCAACAGCTGAAGGCCCGAGGGGAAGTGGACATTCTGGGCATTGTGTGCCAACTGCGGCTAGACAGGTGGGTGCATGATAAACAAGACTAGTCATGCTGATGAGTGGCCGGGGCCCTTGGGCATCAGCACCACTAGACACATCACCATCAAGTACTCTTTCAGGAAAGGAAAGGATCCCTTTGGCTTAAGAGCTGTTTATTTTGCAGCTAACATCCAGGAATGAATCTCTATTTGGAATTTTAGCTTGGGGCCTGGAATTAAATATGCCACCCTATGGACTTCCCAGGACCCTTCAGTTTCTCATGCATTCCCCAGCCTCTTCCAAATGCCTATTTGGGAAAGCTTGAAAAAAAAAAAAAAAGATACAGTTGATTCTAGATATGAGGTGGCCATGGGCAAGTCCCGATGCTCACTGGATTTAGAGATTGAGGAGCAGTGTCCAAATTCCCACTTGCATCTTACTGAGCTGTCTCTAAATTTCTCTGGGCCCATTCCTTCATCCTCAGAGTTGCTATTGAAAGGAATGGGTTAATTTACATGAAAGTATTTTGGAAAGCGGGAACTGCTATACAAATGTACAGAACTACTATTTTTACTTTTAGGATTATTAGAAAGGAAAACTTGTGGCTCAGGGATATTCCTGACCCAACCTGAGGAAATCAGAAGTTCGGTTTTGCTCAGGAGCTAAATGGATCAGAGAAGACCAAGTGTCAATGTAGGGTACTTCCCCCTTAGTACCCAGCCTCCCTCTCTTGAGGGAAAGCTTGAGGGGCCTCAAGGAGGAATAGAAAGTAATAAAATGAACACAGGGGAGGGAGAAGGACAGGACTTTCCCAGTAAGACCAGGGAGATGTTTGACCCCGGCCATTCAGCAGGCTCCTTGCCCTTCTTTCGATCATGGTCTGTTTCTTCTTGCAGAGGAGGAATGATCCAGACTGCGGAGCAATACCAGTTCCTGCACCACACTTTGGCCCTATATGCAGCCCAGCTGCCCCAGGAACCCAGCCCCTGACCCCTGCCACCCTTCACCAGCCCAGGTGCCAACCGCCCTTCAGGCCTGGGTTTGGGGAAGTGGGCTGTGGGATCTGGGGTACCCCCTGCATGAGAGTGGGAAGGGATGCCCCATTAGTGAGCACTTAGGGTCCCAGGAAGCTGAATCAGCAAGAATGAGAGGCCAGGTTTCAGGTGCCCCCCACTGGCCACTCCTCTGCCTCCCCTAGTGGCCCCAGATGGGTAATAGAGGAGCGGTCAAATCTCTGACCTTAAAGATAGGAGCTGGCACAGATGAGACACAAGCCCAGGTGGGTTGTTCTTCCCGAAAATGCTTTGTGAGCATTCAATCTTCTCATCTATGTCATGGACATAAAGTGCTCTGCTGTCAAAAGGGAAGCAATCAGAGAAGTTCCCAGCTGCTGTTCCAGTGGTCTCTCCTTTTCCTGGGGCTGGCAAGAGGGTGATTCCAAGATAATCCTCCACCCAGGCCCTGCCTAAGCACTGGCCAGATGAAGAGCTGGTTCTGACCTCAGTCAGATTCTCCGCATCCTGGCAGGCTCCCTGCTCCACCCTACGCATCAGTGAGTGCAGGATGACCCCCCTCGAAGGTGAACAAAGACCCAGGTGACCCCTGTTCCCATGCATGTATCCTGAGAGGAGGCTACAGCGGTGACCAGGCATGTCAGTTGAAACCAGGCATGTCAGTTGAAAGAGGCAATATGTGGGGACAAATCAGAGGTCAAGAAGATTGTCCCTGCCTACATAACTGCCCGCCACTTACCCATCTACTTTCTGTGGAGCCCCAACACTCTCTGCTTTGCTCTATGACCTCAGAAGATACCCTGGGTGCCCAGGAAGCACCAAAGAAAGAGGAGACAGGAGGAGACAAAGAACTCCATCTGATTCAAAAACCCCCACCCCCACCATATCCTCCATGCCCTGCATTTGCAGAGTACATCTGGAGAGCTTGGCTGTTTCCAGAACATTCTGAGTTCCAACCACCCCGTACAGACAGACGGGTTCACACTGAATTGCAACCCCTCACATCTACCCCAGAGAACTAATCACCATTCATCTCAACACGATTTCCAAGGCAACCCAGATTCATCTCAGGGCTCAACTACAAAATCTCAGGAAGGTACCCAAACCCTGAGCCCTTCTTGACTCTGAGGATGATGGTAGTAAAGCACCATTCCTCCTGGCCCTCAACCCCAGAGGGTGGCTGACACCGTTCTCCGTGAAAACCCCAAGGAGCTGGTCCCAGAAAGCAGCTGGGCTCCCCTCTCATGACGTCTCTTTTAAAGGACATGCAGTGCTGCTGTTGAGGTTCATTTTCTTCATGCTTCTGCTTGGCCTTATGGAGAAGTCCCTCCATCCTTCATAGGCCTGGAGTGGGCTCACCAATACCTCCACCTTCCAGAGCCCTGTGGGAGGCACCACCATCTGTGCCACCCAAGCAAGGTGGAGGGCTCTCAAGTGCCTGATCCTGCCCTGAGCTCAGACTCAGTCTGGAGGAAAGCAATGGCATAGCCCCCAAGGGCACCCTCCTGCACTGTGAGTCTAACCTTGCTCCAGAGCTCAGAGGGTACCAGCTCTGGAGAAGTAACCAAGTGGAAAAAATAAAGACTTGTTGGATGACTGACTGATTCCTTCTTTCCATCTTCTCAAGCCTCTGGGGCTCTTCATAGCAATATAGTTTACTTCACAGACCAGTTACAGGCTGCAGCAATCTTTACCCCTGGGATGTTCATTTTTCTAGCCCTTCCAAGGATAGGAAAAAAAGTGCAACTGTAAGTTAATTTAGGAAATGAGATCGAAGTATGCTATCTTAGCCTGACCAGGCTGCTATAGCAAAATAGCTCAAACTGGGTGGTTTATAAACAACAGAAACTGGGGCTGAGGGGCTGGAGTTGTGGCTCAACGGTAGAGTGCTTGCCTAGCATGTGCGAGGCACTGGGTTCGATCCTCAGCATTGCGTAAAAAGAAATAAATAAAATAAAGGTATTGTGTCCAACTACAACTAAAAAAAATTGAAAGAAAGAAACAAACAAACAAACAAACAAACTGGGGCTGAAGATGTAGCTCAGTGGTAGGTTGCTTGCTAGCACATACAAGGCCTTGTAGTCAATCCTCAGCACCCACACAAGCACACACACAAACACAAATTGGAGAAATTTGTTTCTCACTGTTGTGAATAATAGAAAGTCCAAGATCAATGTGCTTATAGATTCAGTTTTTGGTTAGGACCCACATTCTGGCTCATAAGCAGAGCCTTCTTCTGTTCCCTTGCCTGGTGGAAGGGGCATAGGCTCTGAGCTAGACTGCACGTGTTTGTTCATGTTCTCTCTCTCTCTCTCTCTCTCTCTCTCTCTCTCTCTCTCTCTCCTCTCTTTCTCCTCTCCTCCCTCTCTCTCTCTCCTCTTTTATAAGGACACTAATCCTATCTAGTAGGGCTCCACCTCATGACTTAATCCTCCTCCTAATACCATCATTGGGGGATTAGGATTTTGACATATTAATTTGGGGGAGACATATTCAGTCATTCAGACAAATCAAGTACATTAGGAGCTAAAGGGAGACTTATAAAGGGTACAGATTAGACAGACAGTGCTTAATAAACCAGAACATTATACTGATCTAAGGTAGGGATTCTTCCACTTTGGCAACTATTTGGTCAGTTGGGGTCATCTAACTCTTGGGTAGGTTTGATGGATATGATTGATGTTGAGAGTTTATTTGCCTTTGACTGAGAGAGTAGACTCCATAGGGGTGTTCTTGGAAATCAAATTCAAAGGAGCATCCAACAGAAGCTGGGAACTGCCCTGAAGCTGGGGACTAGTGAGGTACAGCTGGCTGGGTGAGCAGGCCCAGTGGTTAGTTCCTGCAAGAGAGGAGTGGAGGCGTCTCTGCGGTCCTACACCACCCACTATCAGTTCTGCTCTGGAAGAAAACTTTTTTACCAAAACAGCATATATTTCCCTTTGCCACAGATGTTCCTCACTGGGGCTCCCCTGCCAGGGTTTTTGTCTGTTTCATTGTCGTCATGATACTAGCAATAATCAGCATCAAGTTCAAACATCTATTTCACTTTGGACCAGAGGCTCCTGAACAAGTAGCCTGGGTAAGTTGTGGTTAACAAAACAAGATGGAGTATTAAAAGACCCAAATGTGGCTGTTACTCTCCCCTGGGTACATTTTGGAGGAGGGGACTCAGTACCCAGGGATATTGAGATGCAGGGATTAAGAAACAAAAAGCCTCCATTGCCTCCCTTTCCTAGAGATCTCATCTTTGTGTCCTGGAAAGTGGGCGACACCAGCACCCCTTTCTTCAAACTGGAGACGCTGTTGCTTAGCGGCCCCTCACCCGCATCAGGAACACCACCCTTGAAGAACGAAGGAGTGGCAATAAACGCGCAGTGGCCCAAGAAGAGAGAGAAAATAAAATTCGCCTCCTCTCCCGAGCGCCCGGCCTCGTCGCTGCCAGTCAACCCCTACCCTCGCAGCCCCGGCTTCCCCGCCCACCGCTCGCGGGCGTCGGCCCCTGGCTGCGGGCGAGGGAGGAGCGCGCGCTCGGGTGCGAGCAGGACGCTGCCCGGCCCGCGGGAGGGCGGCGGCGGCAGCGGAGGAGGAGGAGGGCGCTGAAGCCACACCCATCGGCGAGCGGATCCGGGGGCAGCAAGTCGTCGGCCGCCGCGCTCGAGCCTCCGCCCGCACCGAGCAGCGGGACCCGGGCCGCACCGGGGAGGGGCCGCTCCGGGCCGCAGCGCGAGGGCAACGAGGGGCGGCGGGGACCCGGCACCGGGCGGGGCCGGCGGCAGCGACCATGATCGCTTTGTTCAATAAACTGCTGGACTGGTTCAAGGCCCTGTTCTGGAAGGAGGAGATGGAGCTCACGCTGGTCGGGCTGCAGTACTCGGGCAAGACCACCTTCGTCAACGTGATCGCGGTACGAGGGCGCGTGGCGCGGGCCCCGGGCGCGGGCCGAGGGTCTGGCCTGTCTCCGCCTGCACTGCGCCCTGGGAAACCCGGGTCGCCGCCTGGCATGGCCGGGCACCGCCGGGTGTCGGGCGGGGGAGGAGCCGGCCCCGGGCGCTTGGGGCCTAGCACGGCCGGTGGGGGACCCGAGTGGCACGCGACCCGCTCTCCCTCCTGAGCCAGGATGGCACAGCTGGGGGCAGGGAGGAGGATCCAGGAGATGGGTGGCGCTCTGGTGTTGGCGGCACAGAGGGGGGTCTCCAGGCACCTGGGACCCGCTGCGGGCTGAGACAGGCCCCCTTGCAAGGGGGCATGACGGGGCGAAAGTGCCCGGGCCTTTCCGCCCCGCGCGAGGAGCGTCACGGGACAGGCGGTCTGAGCTGCTTGGGAGGCGGCCTGGGCCAACCCAGTCCCACCCTGAGGGCTCCATCCCATTTTGATAGATGATGCCCCGACCCCACCGCGTAGAGGGGAGGTAGTCCCCAGGGACAGAGGAGTCAGCTGAGGCCCTTGGCTCAGACCCAGACTCCTCCTTCCCGGAACCTCTCCGGGACTGTGGTGTCGCTGGGGGTCCAGAGAGGATGGCACCGTAAAGGGAGTTTGGAGTCTCCGCCTGGCTCAGAAGTTGCAAGAGGAGGTACTCTCTACCAGAGGATGAGTTGCAGGGGCGCTACCCACTTGGGGACATGGCAGAGAGTGGCTCCGAGGGCATCAGGGAGTCAAAACTGAGGAGGGCGATTGCTATAGTCTTTCTGTGCCAGGGGAGTGGTGGAGAAGGAGTTAAAATCTCTCTCAAAAAAGGGAAGATGAGCTCCCTGGGTGTGTGAGCTGAGGCTGCAGTAATGGCTGCGGCCTGCATTTCCCAGCCAGGCAGGACTCGGGCTTGTGGGACTCAGGAAACCTTGGGACAGACCCTAGGGTTGTCCAGGGAACTGGTCCAAGACCCAAAGATGGGGTTTCCAAGAACCCTGATGTGGCCAAATATTGATACAAAATGCTGAATAGATAGGTAGGCAAAGGATAGTGGCCCCAGCCTAGCACTGCCACCTGCCTAATTGTTACCCAACCTTGCAGGACCTGAGTCTCCCTGACAGGTCTCAGCATCCCCCAGGGGAGTGTTGCAGGGTGGAGTTGTTACTACTACACTTGGTCTGAAGCAGCAGGACAGATGGAAGGCTGGAGGGGCTGGTACTCACGGTCACATGATTGGGCACTGGCTTCCTACACTATACATGCTCTGCAGGTGACCTCTGCCCCTTCCTCTACCCAGCATCTCCTGCCAAGGCAGAACGTCTAGTTTGTGACTGAGGTTTGGGGCATGATGTTTTTTTGACATGCTTCCCGGCTCCTGTCTGCCTAAGCTCTAACTCCAGGGTCAGA